GTCTCAGTGTAATTAAAATTAAAGAAAAAAATGTTTAAAATTATTTGAAAATTACTATTTTAAAAATTTTAATAAAGACACAAAAACAAAAGGCAATGCGCAACAAAAAGCTGAAGGTTTTGGGGGAAAGATAAGCCTGATTTTTGTTGTTTGTTAGATATTTCCAAGCAACAGAGAGTTTTATTTTAACCTTGTTCCCCCCTCTCTCAGCGGCTGGTGGAGGCGGCGGAAGAGGCGCACCATCAGCATGAAGACAACCCAGACCTGCAGGTGAGGCTCAGAACTTCTTAAATTTTATTTTTATTTTATTTTTAAATAAATGATTTAAAACTTAGTGGCCCGATTGTCTTGAACAGAGATGGGTTATTTTGAGGAGCTGCTGCAAGGTTGAGAGAAGGGTAATCGGCTCTTGGAGGTCTTAATGGGATCCATTCCCGCGCGCTGATGTCCTGTCAGCGCATTGATACATCATGTGATGAGCCGCACGCACCGACGGCTGCAGCTTTAATAAGTTCAGAAGTTTTCATGCGCAGTCATAGATCATAACCGTGTCTCTGCAGCAACTTTAATTACTTTAAAACATGTTTTTGTGCAGACAGGCTGCAGAGCGTGGAGATGATTATTTATCAGGAACTAAAGAGTTGATGCAAAGATTCTCTCAGCTTCTGTTCTGATTTTGTGTTTGTTTCATTGCGGGTTTCCTCTCTGCAGGGGGAGAATGCAGCATTMCTGCTCTCTGCGCCGCGCGCGGACAAAGATAAATGAAGGTGTTTTGCGCGCGCGCGGCGCATTGTTTCACTTACACGGCTCCAGATTGGAAAAGCCAGCCGAGCAACAAAACGCAGAAATAACGGCGGCGCTTTGCAGTTAATAGAAGCATTTACATCATATGAATTCACTCCGTGCCTTTTGTTCTCCGACACTTTTTTTTCCTTTTCTGCTGCTCATGGCACCGTGAAAAAAAGGAAAGATGAGGAAAAATCCAACAAGAAATAACGACTGAAATGGAAAAGAGTCGTTTGTCTTTATGTTTTCTTTAAAATGCCTTTTCTTATAACAGCTGCTGTTCTGTTAGCTGCAATCTCCTTAAAGAATCAGATGTTTGAATTTTTTTTTTTGAACAGACCAAAGTATATCTGCATAGTTTGGCGTTTATTCTTCTTTATATAAATAATGCAAAATATATKATATATGTTATTATCTTATCCAGCCAATAAGTAACAAAAGGCCCCGGGCGAACAACAGACCTCTGAAATTCCCTCCATAATGACCACATCAAAAAACTAATGTGGAAAATGTGATATCCACCTGTGATAATGATGTGATGTCCTGGTGTCACCCCCCTCTGGCATCATTTAGCCAACTGCGCCTCGTCTGACGCGTTTTTCACGCGTCATTTCTCTGATCAGCTGCTTCCAGGAGGGACAGTCAGGACCTGAGACCAGGAGGGAGAGGCTGCTGCAACCTGTTTCTGCTCTCTGACGACACACACACACACACACACACACACACACACACACACACACACACACACACACACA